TTTATTAACATGTTTCTGCTTTCTTTCCCAACAACAAGGTTTGAAAACTTACCAAAATCATTCGTGCCTTCATCCTTATGATGACTATAACCAAGTAACTACAACATTGTTTTTCCATTAATGACAGGTATGTGAATATCCTCACCCAAAGGACAGCTCCGTAAAGACCCTTCAACCCAAACCAGAAATTTAGCAATGCTATTAATACACTCCCTCAGGCTCATCCTCATGTCTCAATCTCCATCTTCGCAGGTTAAATTTAGCTACAATCTAGCAGCGTCAGATACCCTCTTTTATTTAATTTTCAACCCGCTCTCTGTTAAGAAATAAATTGACAAAGCAACAATTACGACAAAAATAAATACAATACATTCAAATTATCAGAATTTTGGCTTTAAATTTAAAGCCGCTGCTCCTCGGTTTGTTTTCAAATAAGTTTCTTATTATATCTAAGATATGTGTTTTGTTTTTGGACATCTTTTAAAAGACCTTTAAAACAATGAAGACAACTGTATGTATATAAACTCATGTTCATCCTCTTATTTAAACGACGTGGGACTTTATTTGCATCCCAATAATATGTTCAACTGCTCAAGAAATTGATACATTTTCATTCTATTTGAATGTGTCAGTACTGAGCTTTGTGTTTATTGTGCATAACAATTCTTAATTTATATTTTTTGCTGATTAATAATATATGTAATTGTTCAGCTGAAGAGTTATTGTTCACAAACATATTCAAGATATGAGAGATATTGCCATAATTTTATACTGTCCACCTTCTTTCTGTATAATTGCTAATACATCCTCTGCTATAGTCAGGTTTCTTAACTCAATGGTCATAATTATAAAGTCTCCTCTGCAATAAGAGAATCAATCAAGTGTTTCTACAATTAATCGGTGTCAGGTTTATCATAATATTTGGTTAATAGAAATTTAGAAATTACATCTTATGAGTATAGATTAATTTTTAAATTCACACCAAATTGATTTTTGTTGTTTGTTCAAAATAAATCAATAATTAATTACATAATCATTTATTCAAGAAGAATTTGAATTATATACTTGTTCTTTGAGAGATTATAAAATTATTTTTAATTTACGATTTGAGTATATGTTTTTCATTAATGCGATCCTGAAAGGACAGCTCTGTAAAGACCAAAATTAGAAAACACTGAATAGTGAATACTTCAACTACATTACATTCAAGTGGTATAATAACATATCTAACTTATATCTAAATCTTTTGGTGTTAATTTTAGCGACTATCTAGGATCAGGATTCTGGGAAACATGACAATGTAGCAGTTGTTTTTACGTAAGGTAGCCTCTTGTATTTAATTTTCTACCCACCCTCCTAATGGCTAGGGTGAAAATAAATTGAAATGGCAACAATTAGGAGCAAGTGGGAGAGTGAGATCTCAAGTGCACACAGAAAAAACATATGATGATGGGAATGAAAAATCTGAGAGAAATGAAGCACACTAGACATTTTACTGATCCATTTATGAAATTAGATGTAATAGCTACAGAAATAGAATGATATGCATGGTCCTTCCTGGCTCAGATATAAATTTCCTTATAAGACAATCCAAGCAAAAGCCACATTCCCAAACCTTATGCTATGCAATAATGAAGCACAGTTGGTTACCATTAAGAATTGGCTGAGAGAGGGCGATACATCTGTCACATGTGATGTGCCTTTTCATTCAAAGATGGAGACAGATTACTAAAAGAGAAATTTCTTTCCAACAAAATAATGCTCAGAAATTTTTCATCTTTTTATATCAAAATTTCTAATATTAATAAATTTCAAGCTTCAAATTTTGTAAACCTTTTAGGAAAAAAAATTTACATGTATGAATAAGCAAAATTGAATGTACAATAATATTAAGTTTTCTGTTTTTTTTTTCCTTTTGGCTTAATTACATTTTTTACGGTAATGATGCAATTTTTATTTTTAAAGTTTTAAAACTTTATATAAGGTCATTTAAGTTTTCTTTCATTTAAAATTATGTTATGAATTTTAATTTTATTTAGCATGTAAGTTTAATTGGATAAATTTATTTCATAAATACTTATCAAAAGGAAAATAAAATAAACTTTTGTTGTAAACTAAAATTATTTTATGAATAAGTTAATATTTTTATATTAAATTTTTTTCACAACTTATTTTACAGTTATGTATAATTAATTTTAATTTATAATAAAATTTTATTTTATGTTTTTTTAATCATAAGTTATTATGAAGAAATCTATTTAAATAAATTTTTAATATAATTATTAATAGACTTAAATAAATTTTTAGTTTTTTATTTAAGTTCATATAAAATGAGTACATTTTAATTTTAGTCTTTATTTTTTTACCCTTTAAAATTTGAAGTCATTAATTTTGATCTTATAAATTGAAAAAAAAATTGTTTTAGTTCCTGTAATTTTTTTTCCATCTATCTAATATCTAAAATCATTATTTTCTTGTTTTAGTGATCATTTTTAAGTGGATATAACATTTATTTTACAGATTTATAAAATTTAAAAATATCATAATTAACATATACCATAGACAATTATAGGAATCATATAGAATGTCCACTTTATCTCATCTATACTAATAGATAAAAAAAATACTAAAATTCTTAATCACTTTTTGAAGTCCATTTTTTATGACTATTTTACTTCAAATACTTATAAATATATTAATTATCTTTCTTTTTTTCTTTTGACACATTTTTCTCTCACTTGAGATTTTCTCACTTTTACAATTTTTCAGCTTTCACTCACTAACCACACAATAACCAATCATTCTAGTATTTTTTTAATTTTTAATTTTATTTTCTAAGAGAATTTAGAAGCACGAAATCCCCTTTTTTTAATAATAAATGGAACACTCAAGGGATTAATAAAAATTACAAAACAGCTGGATTACAAAAGTTTAGGAGATTAAACATTTAAAATGAAAACATATTTTAAATCTGAAGTTTTATTAAGATGACAAACAAAAATAAGTAAATACAATATATCGTTTTAATAATTCTTATGCAAAAATGAAGAACGGCAAGAATGTGTATGAATTAATGAGTGTTTTTCCTTTTTTGGAACCAATATTTTGTATATAAATATTAAAAAGAATAATTTGATGATTGGACATGTTATACTGATACCGTACGTTTGGGCATCTTTAACGAAAACAACTCATTTGAGTTACTTCATGCATTGAAAAATGAAAAAAGTAGTTTCCAGTATGTTATGTCAGCATTAAGCAACTCAAACACAAATGAGTGTTTTTCCTTTTTTGGAACCAATATTTTGTATATAAATATTAAAAAGAATAATTTGATGATTGGACATGTTATACTGATACCGTACGTTTGGGCATCTTTAACGAAAACAACTCATTTGAGTTACTTCATGCATTGAAAAATGAAAAAAGTAGTTTCCAGTATGTTATGTCAGCATTAAGCAACTCAAACACAAATTTACTCCAATGATAAGAAATTTTAAGAAATTCAACTTTTAGAAATTTTTTTCTAATCATTTATGAATCAAATTTAAATTTTTATTAAAAAAGATAATTGCACTACAATGAAAGAAAATAAATTACGAGAAAAAATATGCAATAAATAAATATTAAAAATAAAATAAAACAATAATAAATACATAAACATTATACGAAATTAATTTTCATCATTATTATTTTTGAAACATTCTCAAATATGTTCAATAAGATTTGCTTGAAATCTGGCAAGGAATGATTCAAACAACTTATGTTCTTGCATTAAAGTCCTTTAATGACAAAAAATTAAAACTTGAATTACGGGATAACTAACTTCCATTAAAGTTGCTGGAATCAGATCGTAATAGTATTGAAGAAGGTAGAGTGAGGGTAGTAAAAGGTAGTTAGTGTGAGGGAAAAAAGTATTAAAAAGGAGCAGATGGAAAGGAATTCCAAAATTGCGAGCTTTGTTTGATGAAAGATGATCAGACATTCTCCGTTCCAAACAAATCAAATGAACACTCGAAAACTCCCTATTTCTCCCAACACCTCTCCCGTCAATTTCCGCCGCGCTTCCCCTGTAACTCGCATCTCCGCCAGGAAACTCGCGGCGCGCTTATGGCACTTGCGCTTTTTCAAGCTGTCATCTAAGCCAAAGGTATATTCTATTCTCTCATTTCTTTTAAGCCCTCAACTCAAATTAACAATTGACAATGTCCTCAGCTTCAATCTTCCCCGCCACGTGTCAAGCGTGACAGCAACGTTCTGAGAGACTCCGTTGTCTCTCTTCTGCTATCAGAACTCCTGCGTGCTCAAACCTCCCTTAACAACCTCAAAGCACAACACAAGTCCTTTAGGAAGGAACACCTTCTCTGGAAGCGTCGACAGCTCAAGAAAAACGATGCAGTCATTGAGGCCTTAAAGGACAAGCTAGCCAGGGAAAGGAGAAGCAGAGAGAGGATGGAATCACTCAATGCCAAATTGGCACATGACCTAGCCCAAGCCATGCTCAACTACGTTCAAGAAAAGAGGAAAAGACAACTCACAGAGCAAGTGTGCAACCAATTAGCAATGCAGATAGGAGAAGACAAAGCCAAGCTCCAGGGATTGCAGAGATATTCAATTAGAATTCGCCAGGAAATGGAGCAAGAGAGGAACATGTTTCACATGGCTGAGCTGTGGCGTGAAGAGAGCATTCAAATGAAGCTACTTGACGCCAAACTTGCCTTAGAAGATAAGTTCAATCAGATGATCCACTTGTTCAAACAGGCAACTGACTCATGTGATTTCACAAAGTCAAATGATGTTTTATCCGTTTTTGAGGAACTCGAAGAGAAACTCATTCAAGTTGAACCATACTACCCTTCCAATAATAATCTCATTGATCCCTCGTCCACCGTCCACATTGTAAATCTTGATGAAGATTATTGCCTCAACAATAATCCCGTGTTACATCAATCAACCATTTCCATCAATGAAGCTGAATGTTGTGAAAATGCTGGGGATGGTTGTTACAAACACTGTGATTCGGTGGCACAACAAAACTTGGAAGGTCCTAGGTTTGGTGAGTGTGAAGGGAGAGTTGCAACGAGTTCAGGTATGAGCGGTGGGATTGGTTCTACTTTTATGTGTAAAGGTTCGTGTGAAAGTGGGTTCAGACAGTGGGAATTATTGGGACAAGGAAACTTTGCAGACACTGTGAATCCCCACATAACTCGTGGGATAAAAGGATGCATAGAATGGCCACGAGGCATTCCCAAAATCAATGCCAAGGTCATCCCTTTGGAAGAAAGAGTGCGAAGACAGAAATCTCAGTTACAACATATACTTAAGCCTCAGGGTCAGGGTTAAGACCTTGTTTCAAAGAGATCAAATACAGAAACAGATTTCAATAAAATTCCATTCATTTAAGTTTGTCTTCGCTGGTTCGTGAACCTTTCCAAAAGAAACACCACCTTCTCACAGATTTCAGTTTATTTATCGAAAATAACGTTCTGTTGTCTGGGTTTGTGCTCCGTCTATTCAGCCACTGATCAATTGTAATCATTCCATAGTCATATTAGATGCTATAGATAGCATCATGAATTTTGAATGTGGTTGATTCTTTTCTAGAAAACCACAACATTTTGATAGCAAGAGGTGTATTATTAATTTATTATTCCATGACAGATTACAATAAACATATTTACCTTGAAATCATGGTATGCACACTTTTTTAGTGATCTCTTAATAATAGACAATTTGTTCAATTCATGATTATTGTTCTGAGGCTATTGGTGCTCTTGCATTTTCCTTGCTGTGTCTAAAATTATCAAGGGCTACAAAGAAAGAAAGGATGCCTTCGGACCCAAGCTGAAGATTTAATTACTCAAATGGAAAATTCGTTGCAGCTCATTTTAGTGGTTATTGCAGGATAGTGTTAATTGTCAATTATTACCCATTTCAGTAAAATCACAGAAAAACAAAGCAATTATCATTTGCCATGATTTACTTTCCTATTGCTACCTTCACTGTTAACCTAAGTGGCTGAAATCCTTGTGCACCACAATCAATGATTAATTCTGACCTATTAAAGTCATAAAATGTTTGGTATGGCCAAAGAATGTTGTGGAGCAGAATCTGGCACTCCTGATGATGCGCCTATAATTTTTGCTGGCAGATATGGCTAGCTTTAAGATGGACCCAATTAATCATGCCATGAGAGCTTTAATTATACAATATATGTAGACCCTACACGCATTTTTCCTCACGCTACTTGTTCTTTTATTTATTATTATTATTATTATTATTATTATTATTATTATTATTATTATTATTATTATTTTCTTTTTCTGTTGAGAAGGTTAAAAAAACAAAAAATATATGTGACAAAGAAAAATCAACTACATTCCTTGGTAGGGACTCAAGAAGGATCCTTATGAAGTATTTTTATTGATTTGTAGCCAGGTCATTGAAGTTAAATTCCATGGTGTGGTCCATTATAAGAAGATGAAGACAGGAGACTAGGGATGTTCAAAGAACTATATTAAATTAAATTATTATAAAAATTAAACTAAATTAGACTATAAAAAACTAAATTAATTTTTATAAAAATTAAACTGAACTATATTTTAAGTTTTAGTTTTAAAAACTAAATTATTATAAAAAAGTAGTTTAGTACACTATAGTTCTAAATAAATAATTAATTTATAGGATTAAAAAAATATTTTTATTTATTAATTGAATAAAAATTTATATACCTTTCATAATTAGTATTCTTTCAATATTTTTAATATAAATATTATAAAAATTAAAAAAAATGTATTATATATATATATGTATATATATATATATGTACAAACTTATCTTTTTATTATCCAAATAAATTTTTTTATGCTAAAAAATATTATTATTTTAATAAAAATAATTTATAGATATTTCCTATAAATCTTTTTATGAAAAATAATCTACAAGAAATTTTTGCAAATTTTGCTACAATTTTAATGATTATAGAAAAAATTTTCCATGATTAAAATTTACAGAAAATATTGTAAGAATTTTATTTTGCAAGTAAATGTTTACTAAATGGTAGAAAATTTTTGCAAGTAACTTTTGTTGCGGATTTTCCTGTCAATTTTAATCTGCAAGAAAAATCAAAAAAATATTTAAATTTATAAGTTTAATATTTTAAAAAAACTTCAAATCCCACGTCAATTGAAAATAAAATAATTAAATAATATATAAGTTGGGGTAACACTTACCTTATAAGTTGATTTGTATGGTTGAGTGTTAGGCTTATAATCTACAATCTTAAAATTTAAAAGATTACATATCACATGTTGGGGCGTGAAAACAAATGCTTCAGATAAATTCATTGTGATCATTAGTAATTTCTTTAATTTTTTTCGTAAAAAATATTCTTGCAGAATTTCTTGCAAAAAAATTCACAGGAAACTTTCTTGCAAATTTTTTTTTGCAGGAAACTTTTCTGTGATTTTTTTTGCGGAAAACCTTCCTGCGATTTTTTTGCAAGAAATTTCGCTGGAAAATTTCTTGTAAATTTTAAAATTCACAAAAACATATTATCCACGAAATTATTACCTGTAAATAAAATTTTGCAAAAAAATTTGTAGGAACAATATTTCCTGCAAATTTTTATAAAAAATTCGCAAGAAAAATCACATGTAATAAAAAATTTATAATAATGTTAATTCATAATTAAAATCAATGATTTGGTAGCTCAATTTAAAAATATTGGTTTTAAATTTGTTTTTTTAATGTAGTTTAATTTAATTTATAGTTAATAATAATTTTATTTAATTAATATTATAGTTTAGTTCAAACTCTTATAACTAGATAATAATTTAATTTAATTTAATTAATAATCAATTTAATTTAATAAACTATTTATTATAATTTAGTTTAATTTTCTTCTAACTTTATTCTATTTAACACCCCTACCTGAGACACATAGCATGAACTTGAAGTAATGAGAACCTTGACCCTGTTTCCTGTGTCTCTGCGTCACGCCATTGCTCCTAAAATACCTCACTCCCATGCCGTGTGAGCCCCACAAGAAACAACTGTCCTTCATTGATGCCGGTGATTTGATAGTTATTTTCATAATTCATAATATGATTACATAAATTTTGTGCGTACATGTTATAGATATTCTTGAGTAAGTTATTATGGTATAACACCGATATTCCCTCTAGTAAAGAAATAAAGATGGTGGCAGCTGAGAAAATCTACGATGGTGTCTGACAATGATTTTTATTCGATCTCTCGCATTGATTTAATGATGTTTACCCACAACCTTAATTTATACCCAATAAAAATAAAAGGCCATTTATCTGCATAGACATATAACTGGATGTGAAAAGTGGCAATAAACATGAATGTGTAATACTTGAACAAATATGTAATATGATTGATAGCTGCAGTGAGAGTTGGTGGACCTACATATGAAATTGACACATTTGTCATGGCTACGGCTAACAAAGAGAGGATATGGGTGAAGGAAAGAAATAAGTCTAAAAGAAAAGAGATAAAAGCGGGCAAATAAGGAAAGAGATGCACAGCATCACCTGAAAAAAGAGTGGCAAGTGTATCTTGGGATATAGAAAAAGTTTTACATTAATAAAATAAAAGAAAAAATATTGATTTATAAAATACAAGAGGCCTTTTATCAGTATAGTAGTACTCGTATTCTCGAATGAAACCTAAGAAGTTATATTGTGTTGGAGATATTAAAAAATATATAGGATATATTTCATTTATTTCTCTGTCACATCATTTTATTTTATGATTTTCTTTCTTTTCTATTTCTTATTTGAAAAAAGAAATTATATAACAGAATTTCTCATTGTGTTGTGTCGATCCTAAGATGCGAAGGTTTTTACTCAATGGATATCTCAAATAAACAACGAAAATGATATTACCAAAGTTTTTAAAATTGAATCAGTCATTTAGAACAATAATTCATGATTCGTTATCAAATTAATAATAAAGCGGTATAAAGAAACATCCTATCATAACATTATAAAACTGTTTTTTATGACTCGTGACTTTATAACATTGAAAACTAAAAATAAAATATTATTTTATAAGTCCATAATATTTAATGTATACACAATATTTCAAATTAAATACATCATGTATTAAGTGTAAGTTTTTTATTTACTTAGACATCATCTACGCAATATTTTAAAGCTAATAATCAAGAATTAACTTACATTTGTGAGGTATGATTTCTATCGGCCAGGTATTATTATAACATAGACAAAAATCTAGGTGTAAGTTTGAATAATACATAATAACAATATTAAGTTTACATCTAAAAATATAATCAACTCTTATATAGTAAATATAAATATTTATCTTACATAAGAGTGTTTTTAGGAGCTTTTATTTAATGAGAGTATTTGTAAAAAAAAATTAACTTATTAAATTTAGTTTTTATTTATTGTAATTATTTATAAATTAAATATTAATATTTTAAAATTAATTATCATTAAATAAAACTAACTTCTTTTGTTACAATACAAATTATTAATAAACATGCATTTGCATTACACAAGTTAAAAGAAACTCGATGTTGTATATGAAGTCATTCAAAAATTTATTGAATTTTTTATATTTAAATCGCCCAAAATATCAATATCCTGCATACTGAACAACCATGGAAAAATTATGCTATGGAGGGATTCAAGGGTGGTGTGTATAAGATTATCATGTTGCTAGAAAAGAATACACAAGAGCTTATATAATTTTATTTTATGATATTTTCTTATTATTTTTTATACTTTATTGTATCATTCTTCTTAAAAAATAATTTCTCATGTATTATTTTATGAATCTAATCAACTTATCTTCTTTACTTTTTGTGATTTGATATAGCTCAATTCAATACTATAACACGTTCTTAGTAATTTATGCTATATTTACCCACAATTTTTTTTCTTTTGGTAATCAAAAGGTAAAGAATATTTTCTCACAAAACTACCATTTTTTTTTTCGTTACAAGCAAAATGATGAGATCCTGATTCAATCTTGAGAGGGGTATACCGCTTACGAATCTAAATATCGAGCCTGATTGCAGTACATTGGTAGCCCAATAAGGGATGAGATCATACAAGTGAGCCAAAGCCCACTTACCTAACATCAAATAACATCTTCCCCCTTATTTGTTTCAGGGAAAATGAGGTAGAAGAAAATTAAATAAAAATATTAAATTTTCCTCATTTTTGAGAGGAGCAACGGACCCATCAAAAAAAATTATTTTACAAACTGGAATGAAATGGGAAGAAAATACATTCTACTTTTTTAACATTTTTAAAAATAAAATAATTAAAAAATAATAATAATTAATCTTATAAAAAAAAATATTTTAGTCCTTATTGTTTTATTTTAGTCCTTGAAATATTTTCTTTCTGTTTTAGTCGCTGCATAATTCTATTTCTTTTTGAGTTGATCCTTTTGAAAAAATAAAGTTAGAGACTAAAACATATCTGCATATTACAACAAATGAAGCGAAAAATAAGTATATTAGAAGAATTAAAACAAAATAACAAGGTCTAAAATAAAATGAGAAAATTTTATAAGGACTATTTAAAAAAAATAGGGAACAAAGTAAAAATATATATATACTATAAGAATTAAGAATATATTTAAGTCAAAAAAAATATTTAAAATTTTCAAATAATTAAAGAACCTATCTAGTAA